TCCAATCGTCGGGCACGCTTGAATTGTTGATTGATACATGAAATAACCTTTAGAGATAAGGTAACATTGCCTCTCCACTGAGTTGAATTATGTCAGTTGAAATGGCATCTGAACCCCGCAACTTTCCGTTTTTCATAGATTTAATTCGTTTTTTCAATGTATTCATGTCTATATTAAACTGATTGGTACAGCCTCCCTCGATATCTGAGAGTGGTGAGATTTTGTTTTAAAAACGGAACTAAAGTAGGCATTAAATGATATTGCTTTTTCCCGATCATTTATTAGTAACGTGTTCTTGGTATTCCTAATGACAGGAATTTCTTCTTTATTTCCTCTTCTTCTGCGAACATATTTGTAAAACTTCAACCATTTATTTCCCTCCCGGTCGGGAATATTTTTAAAAAAATTCTCCTGCGCAATTTTGTTTTCCGCTCTAATTCTTTAGAACAATTACGAAAATGTATCTTATGATTTTCACTATGTCTATAATTGAAAGATTCTGTTTTTTATCTTCATGGGTCAAATTTTCGAATTGTAATATTCTAAATCTGAATTATGTTTTAAGTACGGCACGGCACAAACGTTCGCAATGCATTATCTAGAATACTCCTGAACACGTTCTATATTTCCTCCATGCCCCCGTCTATTCTCAGAAAACGATCGCACTGTTCTCTCAGGTAGTGGTGAAGCCCCTCTGAATGTGCCCTCTTGATCTGCCATATTTTTGTGCCGTTATGATTACTTTTCTGAGAGACATTTGTGTCTATTAACATCGCTTGGTGGTCGCCTAAGTCCTCAATGACGTCGCAAGATAGGATAAACTCTTGCGGCCTAATTAGGTGACTTCTAGAAGCGCCTCCTGCCACGTTGGTCTATCTACTACTTGCGATAATCCCCCATCCCAGACGAGTGTGTTCACTCACTGTTGCACTTTCGCATCGCTCACAGCGATAAAAATTTAATCGGAGGCATACTCCAGTTTTGTCTTTGTCCCAAGGATCGCTGTAAACTACGCATGTTGTTGAATGTATAGAAGTTCAGTCAATTTTGGCAATGCTGAATGCACATCGGGTGACTTTAGACGATACAGTCAAATCTGTCTAAACCGGAATCGATCGGAACAAAAAATTTCGATTTATGGAGGTTTCCGTTTTATGCAAGGTTGTCCACACTTGTGATATTGATATTTCTGTCCTGAAAGTAGTAGGCCCGAAATTATATGACTTTATTGTACTTATCAAAATACATTATCATACACATCATTTTTATGGAAGAAGTCACCGATAAATGAATATTAACAATCTTCATCGACAGCTTCTTAATTGAAAAATACACAAATTACTGCCTTAGGCTGTATTTGGACTGCTTACTGACTCCCAAAGCAATGCGTCACAACCCAGTATTATGACTTTCTGACCACCTCAAAATAATAATAATAATAATAATAATAATAATAATAATAATAATAATAATAATAATAATAATAATACACATTATATCAATTCTGGAAGCAATTACATAAAATTTATCAATATTAGTAAATTTTGTGTTTAAAACTGGAAATAGTGAGGAGGAGGAGGCAGCAGATTTTGACCAGTTTTTTTCTATTTGTACACCTAGTCCTACTGCAATACCTGACGAATCTAGCAAATCCAGAGAGAAACAGAAATTCTTGTCAGTCCTTCCACGTCACAGGACGCGATATGCCAGTTTTTTTTTGTTTTTTTTTTTTTTTGCTTCAGCTCGAAACTGTCAACATGAAACAGAAAGTCAGAGGGGATAAGACATTTTTATTTATTTATATTTTTAAAAGAATTATTGTTGTGATTTGAATATTCCTTCACACTGTAGAACATGTTGTTTTGCAGGAAAGTTTTCAATTTACTTTTAAATGTATGAAATGTGTTTATGTCTTAATTATCATTACCTTGTTTGTTGTTAAGTGCAATGCCCTTTATTAGGGTAATTTTTTTTGATAAAGTGTAGTTTCCGAGTGGGGAGCATGTAGGTTTTCCTTTTGACGAGTGTTGTAGTTGTGTACATCGGAATTTAGAGTATAAGTGTCTTGGTTTTTCATGAAAATCTTTTTTGTAAAGACTACTATTTCAAATATATACATGCATGGTAGAGGAAGAATCCTTAGTTTATTGAACAAGGGTTTGCAAGACTCCACCTTATGAGTGCTGGTCATTGTTCGCGGTACTCTTTTTTGGATAATAAATGTGCAAGTGCTTTCTGGGGCATTTCCCCAGAATATAATTCCATATTTTAGGTGTGAGTGCACATTTGCAAAATAAATTGTTCGAAATGTCTCAGTGTTGGAGCTTGACGTGAGGGTGTATAGGGCATAGCAATATTTGGTGAGCTTCTTAATATTTGAGATGTGATCATTCTATTTTTACTTTTCTTGAATTGCTAGACCGAGGAAGGCAGTTTCATGAGTTATCGTTACAGGGTTATTGTTTATGAGCAAATGCTGACAAAAAAATCGATTTATGGAGGTTTCCGTTTTATGCAAGGTTGTCCACACTTGTGATATTGATATTTCTGTCCTGAAAGTAGTAGGCCCAAAATTATATGACTTTATTGTACTTATCAAAATACATTATCATATATCATATACCATTGAGTTTTTCTTTAGGTCGGGGAGTCATGAAATTTTGAGAGACTGTCTTTCTGATGTTTATGATGAGTTTGTTGTCTTGAAACCATTGTACTAGTGCTTGCAAAGTTTTGTTTCTTTTTTAATAATTGTTGTGTTTTTGCTTTGATGATTATGTTTGTGTCATCTGCCAACAAAATTATTTTGTTATTCCTCAAAGCCAAAGGCATGTCATTTATGTATATAAGGACTATTGGCCCAAGGATGAATCGTTGCGGGACTCCACAATTTATCATTTGAGAACACAAAGGATTGTTCTTCTCAACATCCAGAAGAAAAGCCGATTCAAAATCACAGACTGTATTCTCATTGCGCAGGGTCAGAAACTTTAAAATTAATTGCATTATGGAGGGTTCTTTACTCTTGATTGTACTGCGGTTCAAATGTCTTCCCAATTCTTTACATTCTTTGAAATAATATTACGCAGTTTGTATGTTCGACGCTTAAAATGCTTCTTTTGTTGTAATATATACCTAAGGCTATGACACAATTTCCCACAAGCGCATTCGATCGTATTCACGTGATTAATATTGTTTAAGGATATCTCCTTACGCTTGGTGTTAAAACTCCCCATTTGGCAGGGAAATTAAAAGGCCGTACGCCTTGTTGGCCGGGAGGCTGGGTCTTCTATCCCAACCTAGTATTTCCTTGGTAGTTCTACCTACACAATCTTTTTTTGCTCCACTTTTATTGAGTTCTTCACTAATTGTTCACAGAGACGTATTTAAGTTATGGTAGACATTGCATGTGTAACGGCCCCACTCACAAAGGGCGCTATTTACTGTATACCAGTACATACTAAAATAACACCAACCCTAATTTCTAGAATCCTGACAGGGGCGCAAATTCTATACTTGCCATGGGCACCTGAACATCTAGATACGCCTATGATTGTTTCTTCTATGTCTTTCTCTTCCACATACAACAAATACAACAAGCATCTACAGCGATTTGAGGCATGCTATGCACAAATTTCTCCTCCATGTCTGGGCTGAGATATTCAACAAAAATGTATAGGAGTGTATGAGACAAATGGAGAACATTAACGATCAAAATTCTACATAAATGGAAAGGGAATGCGAACAATCCAAACTCATACAGAGACATGGCCCTGGAAAATGTTACATTCATGTTATTCACTAGAATCCTTACATATAGACGCGAAAAAGAAATAGAAGCTTTCTTACTAGACAATCAGTTTGGCTTTAGAAAATAAAATAAGCTCATAATAGGCAATCAAATATTGAATACTCCAAGCAGAAACCGCACTGGGTACACCAAAAGGGGAAATACTATACAGTATTCATAGACTACCAGAGGAGAGGTTGACGAACTTCAACAAAAGATACATTGTTTCTTCAATAAGCAGGAAAGAAATTTAAATAATGAGGAATGACACTACGCTCAACACTATCATTCAATCAACATTTAGAACGAGGCACTAATAGCCACTCAAGCAGTATAATATTGTCTTCGCCGACTTAAGACGGTTGTCGCTAACACCCACTCAGGTCCCATACTGAATCCTGTTTATTTCAGTATCGCCAATAACTATCTACAGAATTGATACGACATGGAAGTCACCTATAGTCCGAGACCTTTGGAGACTAGAGACGGTTAATGCCTGATCAAAACGATGCTAGAAGTATAAAGAACAGCATCCTGAAAACTTGTTAGCTTGCAAAGGAAACTTTCTACATGACAAAATAAATTAAAATATTGCTGTCATCTTCCGCTCCTTACAGCACACGTTTACAAGAACGAAAATAGAAACAGATACAAATAGAAATAGATTTTAACAACACTAGTGCAATAATAAACATGAACTGGGAAAATACGAACCAAGAACAATGACAAGAGTGACCCCATGGTGGAAGGACATGAGAGTTCCTCCGGCGCACCAATTTTTGCTCGTGCTGCGGAACACCAGTTTGCGTCACGAACCTCGTGATCACACCATGGGTACTTCGTTTGAAAAGCCAGACCAGACACTGACCGTCATGTTGCACGGAGAGCGATGTGTTGAGAAACATTTTGAAAGTGGTACAAAGTGACAATTTTCAACGGTAACCACACAAAAATAACACGATAAAGGTGTACATGAAGCAATATTTAAAACAAATGCTTCATAAATCTGTTTCAATGTCTTGTAATGAGGTGATATTTGGGTATCTGGCTACACTTAAAATTCCCGCTTACATTGTGATGCAAACTTATGTCTGAAGCGCATTGGCTGAAAACTGATATGATGCACAAGACCCCTCCCGAATGACCCGATTCGCGATTCATTATTTCTATCAGACTGCGAAACAAAGAGGTTCCATAACTCCGGGAAGTCTTTGTTCATGTACTGTGTGAAAAGGTTGTGGACTAAACCATTTAGACATCTATACAGATAACAAGACGTTGCTGAGTAATCGCGGCAAAGAGTTGTACACATTCAGTGCCTTCCTGGGAGAATCTTGTAACATTATTATTTTATGTTTTAATTCAAATTCATCTCAAATTTGTAAAGTGTTAGATTTCTCAAAAACTATATTACATTATTACTCTTGGGAACACGTATTTCTACTTTTCGTTGTATTTCTTCGTCCACTTCTCATAATAAATCTGATATCCACTAGACGTCATGGAGTCGTGAGATATTTTTATGCAAGTACCATGCCTACTTGGGATGGTTAAAAGTTGTTGGGGTATCTTTCTGAAGGAGGTCTACGTTTGGTCGAGCGCAGGCTGGTCTCAGTGCACGGTGACTACGTGTAGGCGAGAATGGGGGTAACTTGTTGATTCGTGAACATTGTCCGAGATAAGTTGAAGTTGGCAAGGAGCTGCTGAGTTATTTGTTAAATAGATTTCTTATGTAGCGTACAGCAATACTTCCTGCCTAAACGAAATTATGACTATTTTATCTAAAAAAAAGAACAACCAAGGTAAACCTGAAGAGAACTCGGATGCCAGTGCTCATCATGGTGGATCTCATTCACATTCATTGAATTTGTCATCCATTCCTAATCATTCGCAGGTATGTTACTTCTAGCGGCGAACGTTTCTGACGAGCTCGTAGCATTTTATATTTTACTTCAAACATACATTTAGCACGCCAAAATTCCTGCTTCCCTGGTGCTTTCTTCCAGATATTGCCTTTTGTGTGCCTTGAGCTTATGGTTTACGTTATATTTGACAATTGGCATCTTGCTACTTCAAATAATTAACTTGTATCGGGTCTCTTAATTGTTGCCTCTCTAAAATGACTTGCAATTGGCTCTCGGGTTATTGACAATTGACGTTTGAAATTCTTATTGTTGCACTGACAGCAATTATGAACCCACTTTTTTTTGGTCGTTAATACAGGATTGTTATGAGTCGTGATACTCTCGAAATGGAAATTCGACAATTAAAATAGATGAATTTCAGATGTAAAGGTTAACAAACATGTTCTATTAGTTGTTATAATCTTTTGTCAGTGTTGTTTGTGACTTGATTATTGACGATTTTTGAAAATAAAATATTCAAATTTCCTGTACATTGAAAGAGTAGAATATGAGTAATGACAACTCCTTTCAAAGTTAATTTTTTAATAGAAGAATAAATGCAACCATTTTTATTGTGCGAGTCATTCTTGTTTACATTCTAGAAATGGTACAAAGAAGCATGTACTAATAAGGCATGTTTTCCATGCAGTTTCCTTTTCACTCATTGAAATTATTTATTGGCTCTGAACCTTAATATCGCATGTTTGATTAAATAAATATCTTTTCAGTTTTGTTATGAAAGCTATTGCAGATGCATATTGTCGTTTCGTCCATCACAAGTTAGTTTTCATCAAGCTGTTTATCATTGCTGCTTTGCATTGACTTTTCAAGATTAGTTCTGTCTACCAAATAATTAAACAAGATTTAGAGAGATTTGTGGAAGAAAGCAAGATTTTAATTTTTCTTCTAGTGTTTGTGTCTTATGTGCAGAAACACTCATTTGTTAAGATGGTTAAATACCACTTAAAAAATGCTGGTTAATTTTCATTCTTCATTTCTGTCATTATTTTACACAATTTATTATCTATTGTAATAACCTTAGTTTCCTAGTCACTGAAGTGTGTGTCAGAACATAATGAGTTATGAAAAAAATAATTGGAATGCAACACAAATTTTTAAATAGCTCGTCTTAACATTTGTTTTTGCTCCACCAGTGATAATATAATAATGTCCTCAGTATCTGTGAAGCTTTTTCTGCATTTCAAACTGCAATATTTGCTAATCACATATTACTGGATTCAAAATATTACATAAAATTGACTTGTGCCGTGTATGTTACCAAAATATTTCACTGGAATTAAGTTAAAAGATGAATTTTATATTTTTGGGAAGTATTGATTTATTGGCATAGGAATGTTGAGGAACATGTGAGCCTGAAAACAATATAATAGAACATAATTGACAATGCTGAGATTGCTGTGAAAACTGACAGGTATTTATTCTCTCATTGTGATATGTTTTAAGTCAAAATCTTTTATAAAATTGTGACAATTATGAATAGTAGCTTTATCCTGACACAAATTGTGAATTGTGAATGAGTGTATTTATCCTCAGAGTTTATAACTTATGATTTTCATGTATCTTGTTAAATCTTTCAGGTAAAACAGTTTTTAGTGCTAATTAAAGAGGATCTTTATTGTGGAAATAACTGACCTAATAAAATTCTATTATTATACAAAAACTTCATTCTGGGCCTTGAATTTGTTCTTCAACTTAATTGGAAAAATGAAATTTAATGTAAAAAGTTGATTTTAGCAGTAATTGGAATTCTGCACTCCAATATTGACATTTTCTTTGTTCATTTCTCCTTTAAATATTCTGATAACTACATGCAATTTTTAAATGTAATTGGCTTCATTAATTGATATGAAAAGTTGCCAATGAGGGGGTGAAGGTTTTAAAATTTTAAAAATAGTAAATCAGATGTTAAACTTGTCAGTTTGATTCACAATGATAAATCTGAATGGTAATAAACTTCTTACTGAATGCAGGTAAAAAGGAAATAAATTAGGAATTATTGAAATTCAAAGAAACTGTAGATATTAAATTTGTATTTATTGTCTGAAACTTCTTGATATTCTGAACATCAACAATATTTATCATACTGAAACAATCAGGAAGTGGTATGAAATGACAACATGATGATAGTTTTAAGTTAATGGTCTAGTAAATAATTGGTAATAATAGTAAATAATGTTAGATCAGTAATCAAAATTACTCTGAAGGCTGAGTAGCTGTTAGCTTGATATAATTTTATAAGTAATCATGTGGAAATAAATCTACCCTTTCATTCATAAATAAAAGTTCAGGCTTCAAGGCGGGATGCGATAAGATCTTCACATTGTACTTTGTGTTCATGGAAAGGTATTTTGTAATGGTAAGTGTGGATCAAATAGAGCTGCCAGGTCATAGCCACTCTGAAAACTTCTCCCTTGTAGATTTATTTATGTTTTAATGAGGATTAGATTTCCATTTTCTAGAGAAAAAATGACTAATTAAAAACAATTTATTATATAATATTAAGTGGTTTGTAGACTGCAAAAAATTTTTCAACAACCCCAAACAAGAAAAAAGTATTTTTGCCACACGGGTCCTATAGGCAATTGAAGGCTCAATGTCTGACAGATAGTACTTGTAATGATTGTAGAAGTCATCATCACCATTTATTGTTGAGAACTTATACTTCTGCAAATAAAATTTTTACTGCTACCCAAGAAAACAAAGAAACTGGTTCATTCGTATACAAACTTTTTGCTCATCTTTCACGCTATTGATGCTTATTTTTATATAATGAAGAAATACCTTCGTTTCAATAGTACTTGGGGATGTTCGAGGCACCAATGAAAATGAATGAATACAACAGTCAACAAAGGGTTTGTTTAAGACAACACGTATTACAAGTTTGAATATAGATCAAAAGACGTATCAGTATTTTTAAGTTTATAATTTCTAAGAATTCTAGGTGTTTATTTTTACCCATTTTATTAAAGAAGAAAACAATCCTCCTAATACTCTGCTCTGGGTGACGTGAAACTTTTGCATTCTGTGGGAAGAGCAAGTGATAATAGTTGAACACAAATTTAACAAAATTAAAAAAAAAATAATAATTTGATTTCTAATGGAATTATTATTATTATTATTATTATTATTATTATTACTATTATTATTATGGCGAGGATTGGTGCCAGGAACGAAAATAATTATGAACATTTGAAATGAAAACTGTGTGTCACGGTAGAGAAGTCCACCATTTTCTGATCAAAGTTAACAATGCCCAATGGGTGTTGTGGGCAACAAAATTAATGTACCACTGTTGCAAAGAGAATCCAAGGCATAGTTCTTTGAATAAAATGATATACAGTGAAAATCAAATAAAATGTCTATCGGTATGTTCCTGGGGACCCGTAAGTGCCACATTAATATGGTAATGCTAATAGAAATCAACTGCTCAAGATCGTTGATTGATAACACAGGCAAAGGCCAAAATCCTTTTGTGTGTGTTCATGCAATTCTTAACATATTAAGTGTGCCAATTCCAAAAATAACCTTAAAAATGCTATATCACCCTCCATTTGTTCACGTTTTAACATTTGCTCTGTATAGCTAGGCAAATGCAACTCTGATTTTCTAGAAACCTATGAGGTGCAGGAAGTTAGAATGAGAAAGTATTAGAATGACAGAGGGTAGTATACGTGGATGACAGGGCGATAAGTGTATTAGGATGACAAAGAGGGTAGTATTAGTGTATTGCTTGAATGTTGCCGGGCTGGTGAATGAGTTCAGAATTGAATACAAAAGAGAAAAATGGACTGTTTATCGATTCCCCTAAAAGTAGTTTAAAAACAGGCCCATTCTGTACACATGAAGGAAAGTTACAAAAACCCCAGTGTAGTTTTAGAGAAAATAAACTACTCTGCTCATGGATGGAGGATATGTGATACTTAAAAAGAACACACATGCTTTTTGGCCAGCATATTGGTTTTACTAAATTCCCATGTTTTCTATGTGAATGAAAAGCAGGATATTGTAAGAGTAAGTTCTAATGGCAAAAGTGTCCAATATTATCAATAGAACCAATGACAAATTTTTAAAAAAATTTGGGATTTGTAATTTTGAAACTATCCCTCCTATTTGTAAATTTAATTATATTATGCATTTTTAATGAAATATCGTAGTTTTGGAACATTTTTATTATTGTTTGAGATTTATTTCAAGAAATGTTAGATTTAATGTAGTTGTACAAGCTATTTTCTTCTGTAATTAGTTTTAAGCTGTAAAAAATTAAATTAATTTCTTCGTGTGAACACTATAATAATTACATTTTTTCCTTGCTCATAATTTTTGACAACAAAATTCACTAGTTAACCATTTTTAACTTCATCAAACACTGAGAGGCCTGGTTTTTGTATGTAATTAAATGTTAGTTTCTTCATTATTGTTAATGAAAATGTTGTGTTTATACAAATTAGGCTTTTTTAAAGTTTTGTAATATTTAATTATTCATATTGCCAGGTAAAAACATATTTTTACATATTTATCTAGAATTCCCTTTCATTGCACATTTAAAGATTTCATCTGCAAAATATTCCATATAATTTTCTTTCAATATCTTGGTAGATTATTTTTAACTTTATTATAGTTTTATGTGGTTTGGACATAGAATGTACATTTAATTCCCGAAGTCATTGTTGGTTTCAAAACTGTTTCCTTTACTTAAGATCTTACACAGAGTTTAAGCAAGAACAGAGGAATATTAAGAAGCAAAATGCGTAGTTTCTCATTTGAAAATTTTGAACAGTGATTTGTAACATGTTGCATAATAAATGAACAATTGACATCGAAAGATAACGGAACGTGCATTAAGCAACACAAAAACGTCTAGGCTTAGTACAAGAAATGATCTTGTTCCACTTCTATTCAAAGGAAGTTCTTTGACAGTCCGATGGATTGGTGTAATTTAAATGGTTTTATTTTATATATTATTTTTACT